GGGGATAATACTGTTTTAAAATATAAGTTTTATTATTATTTAGGTATGGTAAGGCCAACAGATCAGGATATGATTGGCACTGAAAAGATAGTTTGTTATACAAACAGATCCAAGAGGAAGGGTCACACAGTGCCCAGGGGGCCACACGGAGAAGCGCTGGAGAAGGAACAGGTAAAGCAGGGTAAGCGAGTTTAGGACTGGTTGGTCTGGATAATCTCGGCAGGCTCCAGGAGCTGTCTCTGGTTGTCTGGTACCCTGGGGTGACTAGAGCAGGTGGCTAGCGCCCAGGGTTTGAGAGCCCCGTAAAGAAGGCTCTAGACGGGTTAGAGGCTAGGAAAAGGGCACTCCCAGTAGAGATGTTTGCTGTCTCCAGGAATTAGCTGACTCTGGGAGGGATAGTCCCAGATATCAAAGCATCAACATACAAAAAATAAAAAACATGGGTAATACAGATATTCAGGGATGTGGCAGCTCCAGCCTGAACATGGTAAGGGAGTGGAGAGAGAGGTGGTAAAATAAACTGTATTTAGAAAATACTTAAGTTTGGTAACATGAACACCAAGCAGTTAGAAATTGTAAGCATGGGGCCGTCCCGGTGGCGTAGTGGTTAAGTTCGCAGGCTCCGTTGCGGCAGCCTGGTGTTGGCAGGTTGGGATCCCAGGCGTGGACCGATGCACCACTTGTCAAGTCACGCTGTGGCGGCATCCCATATATAAAAATAGAGGAAGATGGGCACAGATATTAGCCCAGGGCCAATCTTTCTCAGCAAAAAGAGGAGGATTGGCAACAGACCTTAGCTCAGAGCTAATCTTCCTCACACTCAAAAAAAAAATTGTAAGCATGAAATATCATAATCTTAATGGCTGGGGAGATTGCATTAACAATCATTGAAAATAGGAAGCTGCTTTACAGAGGAATGCAATTCAAATTAATTTGAATATAAATAGTAAAACTCATATTATTTCATAATTTCTCATATAATCTATGTGAGGTAGCCACATCACATTCAATGTTTTCTCAGTTTTACAGATGAGGAAACTCCAGTTTAAAGAGATTAAGAGGCATCCCTAATTCATACATGTAATTCATACAGTCATGATAGAGCCATGTAATACAATATTGATAATAATAGCAAAATCTAACATGTATTTAGCCCTTAGTATTCCAAGGCAATTCTTACAAGATTAAAAATCTGTATTTAGCTTCAGTTCAATTCTCGTTGGACCAGCAGTGGAAGTATCCCTTGGGAAATTCAGAACTCAGGCCTTACCCTATACCTACTGAGTCAGAGTCTGCATTTTAACAGGATCTTCAGGGGATTCATATGCACATGAAAGTTTGAGAAGCGCTGCTGTCTACACCACACCACACCGACCTCTATATCAAATTTGAGGTTCCAACGGGAACTGAAGAAATATCAAGCCACTGAAAATGTGGTACTAGAACCCAAAAGAAAGACTGAGGCAGGAGAGAGAGACTGTGCCTTAAACTCTCAAGGCGAATAAAAGAGGCTGAGAAGCAGAGGAGCTGGGACAAAATCTCCACTGATTCAAAGTTCCCACATAATGACACCAAGAACACACCCCGGACCTGATCATCACGTTTTACCTGCAGTACCCTATTCTCTGATACAGCTCATAGAGACTGGCATTTTCTCCCTCTCACGTCCTCACGTACTTCCCTCACCTGGAACACATCATGGAATACACATCGTCCTCAACTCCTACACCACGAAAACCCAGCATTGCTGAAGCACAGCACATAAACCATCCAGATTACTGCCATTGCAAATTCTGGGACCTCAACACCCATCAATAATGCTTTTAATTGTCCTCGGTTCCCAATTTAAAACTCCACTAAATCTCCCAACCCACCCCCTGCTATCCCAGTTCTCACGGCCTTGGGTGACTCAGTAATGTCCGTCATCTGCCAAGGGAGTTCTAGGAATTGAGATTGTCGAAGAATATTTGGAATAGCCACCAAGGAGTGAGTTAGAGACTGAGAAAGACGTGCCCAGTTTGACTGTCTGCATAGCTCCTCTGCAGGTACTTCTGATAAGTAGAACCTGTTAACTCTAAAAATGGAAACTGAGGAAGGCATCACCATAAAAGAGCCATTTGAGCTAGACCTCAAAGAATAAGTTGTTTTTCCATAAGCAGAAAAGGCTCAGCTACTAGAATGTATGAGCGAAGTCTTAAGTGTGAAAGCAAGGCCCTGGTTTTCCTCCCTATTACATACCCACAGTCAAAGCAAATTTACAACCACTTGCTTCCCTCTATGTGAGAGGAAGAGTCAAGCTATATATCTTTTTTGTGCTGAGACCTTAAAGATCAGCTTTTAACCTAGAGTGGGTTTTTATGGCTGAGTTATAAACATCCAAGAACTAAAACCTGACAGTTCCTTAAGGATTGTCACAGCAGTAGATGGTGCTTCAGTAATTTTTGCGCATTTCAACTTTTGCTGAATACCATGCCTTGAGCATGATGAGATTTGATTTTATCTGTCTACACAACACAAAGGGAAGTACAGAGGTTGCAATTTCATGATGAATTGGGTCTATATAGCCAGCCAGGCTGGATAATCTGTGCAGGATGCTTTCAAAGCAAGACTCACCAAAATGGACGAGCATTTCTGCCAGGTAATTGCTCGACTTTCTTTGCACATTCCTCACATAAGCACAAGCTGTAGAATTTTTAAAATATCAACTAAAATCTTTGCAGTAATATACAAGTGTGCAAAGAAGACTGTGCGCAGTCACATGCATTATGTGACTGAATCCTCACAAAAACTTCATGTGGCAGGTAAGACAGGTCTTATTGGTGTTCTTATTGGGTCAGAAAGAGGACATGATTTGCTCAATATTTTAAGTAAGTGGTTGGAATTAGGACCCAATATCAGTGTGTTAAAAATCTAGTTAGTGCGTTAGAATGGAATGTATTATGTGAGAACTCAAGTCAACGGGACTTTAAGTAACCTTCCAGTTCCTCTGCCGGGTGTGGAGTGACCATATCTGTGGTCGTAGATGCGAGATGTAATTGGGGCGGCGACAGCCAATCAGAACAACTTCCGGGCCTGCATGGACCAGACCATCGCCTACATGAACACTTACTCCATTCCTAGGAGTGTGCAGAACCGGGTTCGGACTTGGTATGAGTATACGTGGGACTCACAAAGAATGCTAGGTAAGCTTGGCGAATTACTGACTAAACTCCTATAAGCCGTGTCTTATAATGAAAGTTCTGCAGGGTAGAAGCAGAGACTAATTGGATTTGAACAAAAGACTGAAAAACAACTAAATGATCTTTAAGGTGTTTTTCACACCATAGGACTTTTTTCTTAAATGTGAAGCCATAACTTAATGGTTATGCAAATCCTGGAAAAGCAAAGTCTAAATTTTATTCAATGCCTACCAGATTCTGGGTATTATACACTTTGCCCCATATAATCCTCACTCCCTCCCCCTAAAAAAAGAATGGCATAATTAGGTGTCGTCGACCCATTTTAGGAGACCAAGAAAGGAAGGCTCCTCACTGAAAAATTTGGCCAAGGGCAGAGAGTCAGGAAATGGCCTAAATGGCACTCAGTCGTGCATCCATTCTCTAAACACTTGCTCTTTCTGCGATACCACCTTCTTCCCCAGAGCACAGAGCTCAGAGAGAGCAGCAATCTTTCAGGCCACTTCCACCCCGCTGCAGGGTGCACAGTCTCTTCCAAGAGACTCTTAATACTTCATGGTGTCTACTATTAGTACTATAACACTGGAGTAACAATCATTGTTATTAAATGACGTAAATTAAGCTAAAGATAGCCAGCTCTGCTGGTCTAGTGGTTAAGATTCAGCGCTCTCACGGCCACGGCATGAGTTCATTTCCCTGTCAGGGAACCACACCACCCGTCTGTCGGTTGTCACACTATGGTGGCTGCATGTTGCTCTGATGCTGAAAGCTGTACCACCAGTATTTCAAATACCAGCAGGGTCACCCATGGTGGACAGGTTTCAGTGGAGCTTCCAGGCTAGGCAGACTAGGAAGGAGGACCTGGCCACCCACTTCTGAAAAAATTGGCCATGAAAACCCCATGAACAGCAGTGGAGCGTTATCTGATACGGCGCCGGAAGGTGAGAGGATGGCGCAAAAAGACCAGGCAGGGCTCTGCTCTGCTCTACGCAGGGGTGCTAGGAGTCAGAATCGACTTGATGGCACTAACAACAACAAAAGTTAAAGAAATGTGCTAGTTGACAATAATCAGATTCGGTATTTAGTTTGTTCCTTACCATATAAAAATAGGAATTAGTGCCACTGAGAAGCCAAAAACGCTACTGCTTCCAGAGTGCAAATTACCATGCGATTCTCAAACCACAGAGGCTGTTAGGAGCAGATAAGAACCACTGGTTGTTGACAGTAGGACCTTTTAGTCACCTTCCTGCCACTCTTAAGAGACCCCAGCCACATGTTTAAAACTGCTTCCTAAATCTGAGTGACCAAACAGCATGCCTTACTCTTGTGCACCCACAGCTGTTCCTGAGGGCGTGTCAGCTGGGGAGGCAGAGGGGCAGAAAGAACGGTGGCGGGCTCCTTCCCACTCTCCCTGTAGACACTGCTCCAGCTCCTTGGTTTAGGAGGGAACTAGACACAAACAGCCCTAGGATACAAGGAGCTATGTTTTCACAGAAAGGATTTTCATATTTAGAGTCAACGTTGGAATCAAAATAAGGATATAAGATAGCAATTCTTATCTTTTCTAAATGGATATAAGAAAACATCAAAAATAATCAACTGTCAGAGACTCGTAGCATACTAGACACTAAGAATGGGCAGTTTTGTTTATGGAACATTTTGTCAGCCTGAAGGCCCATCATTTAATTCACACGTAGAAAAATCTTTAATGGATTCACATTCTCCGTTGAGTTAATAAGCAAGTAAATAACAATAATTTGAATTTATTCACTTAGCACATTTCTTTTTTAGAGTCCATTCCCAGCTGATCCACCTACCAATTATGCACCATTGAGCAAGTCACTTACAACCTCCCTGAGCTTCAGTTCTCTTTACTTTTCTTCTTTCTGCAAAGCGAGAATGAGAACACTTACCCTTAGGGTTGTCACAAGGGTCAAATGAGACGATGGGTATGACAGCTCTGTAAGTTTTCCAGTGCCACATGGTCCTCATTATTATTTTTGCCATCCCTAGGATGTCAGGGCTGGAACCCGCAGAATCAGAGAAGAACCAGACCCATTCCCATCCCAGTGTGTTCACTAGCTTTGGTCCCATGATGGTTAAACGTTATAACTATATGCTCTGGAATTTTTCAGAACTGTTATGTCATCCATAGCTAAAATACCTCTTTTCTCTCACGAAAGTAACGGCATTATTGTGATAGGTGTATGTGTCCAAGAGAAGGAATGAAAATATAGAACTTGATGCAGCTGTTTATTTATAAAAAGAGCTGGCATTTCGTTTCTTGTATTTTTTAAATTTTTCTTACACTTCGGTGATTTTTTTTCTTTAATTGTTCTTCTCTGTGGGTTGATGTGTTTATCTTTACGAAGATGAGTCCGATCTGCTTGAGACCCTGCCCACCATGATGCAGTTGGCTCTCGCCTCTGACATGAACTTCAGCATCATCAGCAAGGTCGAGTTGTTCAAGGCAAGTGCTTTTACAGTTCGTAGAAAGGCACTATGTCAATTTCTCTGTAAAACCTAAGCTCTGGCTGTATACAGCATTTGTGGGGTTTCTTTTGCCTTAAAATCGAAATAATCTGGAGAATTTATGTGGAATTAGAGTCAAATAAACTCTGGGTCCCTCTTTAGCAGATGACTTACTTTTTAGAAGCCTCTCTCCCCTCGTTGGTGTCAAAGAAGAAGAGTTCTTCAGGCTCTTGTCGCATTAATTTAAATATAATTAAGCTCTCCAGCTCCATGTCTTTGCTGCTGTGCACACTGTTTCCTATTTACGAGCCTCGGCAACGCACGAAAGGTCAGGCCCAGCTTAGCTCCGGATTGGCCCGACAATCAGAGAATCGGGCCAAATCATGTCTCCTATGACAAATGCTTTGGATTTAAACTTTTTAGATGGCCACGTGCAAATTTAGAGGCTTTTTTTTTTTAGGAAAAAAAATGCGTAACAAAGAAATTTTTGAATGTTTTTTATCTTACTACCCTCTTCTTAATGCATTATACTGGATGCATACGTTTTTCTCACCTAACATTTAATCCTGTGTGTGGCACTCACTGATTCGTCTATTTAATTCATTCATTCAACAGATATTTATTAAGCTCCTACTATGTTCCAGGGACTGTTTTAGCCACTGGGAATACAACAGTTGAAAACAATACTTGCATACCTGGAGCTTAAATGTCAAAAGGGGGGAGTGAAAATTAAATATGTAACATGAGTGATAATGCTCTGAACAAAGTTAGACAGATTGAGGAGGAGGAGGGTGGGACCGGTTGTGACAGGCTGCTCTGATGAAGTGCACTGAGCATCGGGCTGGGGACTGCAGGAAGCAAGGGAGTGCTCCACGCGGGTATCGGGAGAGGGAGGGGAGGGATGGGGGAGGGGACATTATGGGAAGATGGACAAGATAACGCCTGAGCTGGGATGCTGGAGCAAAGGCAGCGTGATGGAAAGCAGGAGTAGTCAGAGGAGGGTAGAAAACAAGAGGCTGAGGGAAAGGTAATGGGGCCCTAGAAGCCGTAGTGTAGACTGGATTGTGCTCTGAGATGCAAAAGCCACTGAAGATCTTGAGTGGAGGTGACCTGTTCCAGATCAGTTTGAAAAGGAGCGTCCTTCCTGCTGCGTGGAGCATAGACTGCAGGAAACAAATGTGGAAGTCAGGGAGTTACGGTGGGGGTAATGGTAACTGTCTGTAGGAGAGAAGATGGTGACCAGATTCAGAGCAGCAGGAGCAGAGTGATCGAGAAGTGGCCAGATATCGGGTGTATTCACAGGAAGAGCCCACAGTGTTTGCTGTTTGATTGTGTGAATGGAGTGAGAGAGAAAGGAATCAAGGTGACCCTAAGGATTGAGGCCTCAGCAACAGGAATAACAAAGATATCATTTGCAAAATAGGAAAACTTTAGAGTAAGTGTAGGGCGAGGGGGCAGAAAGAAACTCTTTGTTCTTGGATGTGTTAGCTTGAGGTGAGCGTCAGAATTCCAGATGGAATGTCGCATGGGCAGTTAGATAAGTGAGTCTGAGTTCAGTGGGAGGTCCAAGCTGAAGCAATAAATTTGGGAACATTAACATGTCGATGTGTTTTAATCCATTGGACTGGATGTGCCCCCTAGGATGGAAGTGTAGACAGAAAAGAAGATGTAATCCAGACAGAAACACATGCCTTGAAAATACGTGATTGATCTCGTTGGGAACAAGATGAAGAGGCAGGAGCTGTAGGGTAAGGACGGTTAGGCAGAGTCACTCCCAACGTTAGGTTAGCCCATGAGTCTGTAGGATACCAGAATTGGATCACCATCCTAGGACTCTTTTCTTGATGTATCCTGTTCTAAATTTCCATTAAGATTTTGATGAAGATATAAACCATGTGATTTTCAAATCTGCGGATGACACAAAGCAAGAAGGAATAGTTTAAAGTGTGTTAGATTCCAAAACTTAAAATTAACTGAATACTTTGAAACAATGAGCAAAGCTAAGATTAGCTTCAGCAAGCATAAAAATAAAAAATTCTGAATTTAGGTCTAAAATTAAAATATTACAAATATAAAAATAGCAATAGTTGGTTTTATAACAAATTTTTTGTACCTGGGAGTTTTAGTTGACCTCACATTCCATGAGTTGACAGAGTTTTATATGATATTGCCTTAAATTTTAACATAATATTGTTTTCTTTACTATTTCAACTATGTCTGGATTAACATATCACATTGCAAATAGCCAGTTTTAAGAAGGCTTTTGACAAATTAGAGCATCCTCCAGCCAAGGGCATAAGAGGTAGGAGTTGAGTAGTGGGCCAAGGCGATAGTAAAAGGATGATCTTATAAATAAAATTGTTGTATGATGATACAAGTCAGATCAATGGTCGCTTCTAGTGGGAGTGGGGATGGAGATACTGACTAGGAAGAGGCGTGAGGGAACTCTGTGGGGTGATAGAAGTTTTTTTGTCTTGCTAGGGAAGTTATACAGGGTGTGCATTTGTCAAAATTGATCCAACTCTCCTTTAAAATTTGTGTATTTCACTGCGTAGAAATGATTCTTCCACCAAAAAAAATGTGTAGATGTTGATGATGTTTAGCTGTGGGGAAAAAGTTAATTAAATAAATTCAAGAGCAGCAGAAGTTCCATGTACTAAAGTCTGTTACATGAACAAGGAATGAGACCTACTCCACATTGTCCACCAAAATGACATCCAACTGTAAAACCCATTTCTGAGCTGCAGACACCTCTACGGGAGTGAAACCTCCCTGGAGAACAAGGCTTGGTTCCAAGTCTTTATACATGGAGGACACAGCACAGTTTGAGACACAGAAGAGCTTGGTAAAGACCTTAGGAAGGAAGGGAGGCAGGGAGAGGGGAGAGGAGTATGCACTGCCACTGGTTCCTGGAGATGATGGGGAGTAGATTTCTAATTGGAAAGTAGTTTCCAGTTCCTAGCAGGAGCTCCACAATGGAAGCTCCGGTGAAGTAGCAGCATCATGGAACGTGCACAGAGTTTTCTGAGATCTTCCATCAGGGAGAATGGGAGAGGGATTCCTACGTTGATTGACAGATTCTTCTAGATAATTGTTTTTTAAGCTGCAGCTTGCAATCCTTTGGGGGATCATGAACTCAATTAAGTGGGTCACAACCAGCGTATAAAACAGAAAATATCAGAGTGCCTCACACATAAGTAAGGGTAGGTATTATATTATGAAATTTTTGTTTCTGTTATTTATTTTTAAATACATATTTACATATTTCTGTGTGTACTGGGCGCAATGTAAATGTCTGTGTTACTATAGGTTATGGTCAAAAAAGATGTGAAAGCCACGAGGCTAAATTATTTTAACAGAACTGTAAAATGTTATTAAACTCTTTATACCTCAGTGACTAGCTTAATTAAGAATAAGTGACAATTGGCTCTCTTCCAAAGAAAAAAACATACTTGAAATTATATACCAGTGACTTTTATGGGATTATCTACGATTTTGGAAGTTATCAGTTTTCAGCATTATAGTTTTTGTCTTTGTTTTTACATATATTTTTGGAAAACCATAAAATCAGCAACATCTGATTGAGAAAAAAGGTTACATCTTCACATCTTGCTAATGTTGAATATAAATTTAGATTCATTCTTTCCTGACATTTCCATGAAAGATGCAGTTCCTTCCAGAAAGAACCCATTTCCATTTATATTTCTGTTAAACGAAAAAAGTTGTTTTTTTCCCCAAAGCCAAATGAAGTAGAAAATAAGTAGGTATGGAATCTTTCTAAATTTATTTTCATGGAGACAGTCTTAGTAGTTTATACAAATTTGTTATTTTCTTAAGGAGCAGATAGGTGAATAAAGATCCTACACCCTTGTTGCATAAATTACACCCACTGACTCTTGTGTATCAGGTACATGTGTGAGAGCCACCTGTGCGCTCGAGGGGCTGAGTGCCCGAGGAGAGAACATCTGAAGAACGTGTGCCCGGAAGGGTGCTCAGGAGTCTACAGAGGGAGCAGGTCGAGCTCCTGGGCAGTGTTATTATCACTCACTGTCACAAGAGTGGGACATTATAACCTGTTCACAGAACGAGAAGTTCTTTAAGACCAGAGCATGGGGCGATAACCAAAGATGAATCTAGAAATGTCATCGGAAGCCAGGCCGTGGAGTGTGGGCCCAATCCTACAGGCAGAGGAAGGTGGAAGGGAGGAAACTGACCACATAGATTTCAGTTTTACAAAGACAAGAAATGGGGCTACACTGAATAGTCCAGAACATCCAGGGATAACAAAGGAGGGTGACTGTCAACTGTTGAAAACCTCCGTATCTCGATTTCTCCCTGAAAATGACTCTTCCGTATCTTTATTTTTTTTTCCTTATTAAAATCTTTATTGAGGTATAATTGACATATAACATTATATTAGTTTCAGGTGTACAATGCAATGATTCAATCTTTGTATATACTGCAAAATTATCACCACAATAAGTCTAGTTAACATTTATCACCATACATAGCTATAAAATTTTTTTCTTGTGGTGAGAACTTTTAAGATTTACTCTCAGCAACTTTCAAATATGCAATACAGTATTATTAACTATAGTCACCATCCTGTACATTACATCCCCAGGACTTACTCATTTTATAACTGGAAATTTGTACCTTTTCACCCCCTTCACCCATTTTGCCCACTCCCCACCTCTTGCCTCTGGTAACCACAAATCAGTTTACTATATCTATGAGCTTGTTTTTTTTCTTTTTTTAGATTTCACATATAAGTGATATCATACAGTATTTGTCTTCCTCTCTCTGACTTATTTCACTTAACATACTGCCCTCAAGGTCCATCCATGTTGTCACAAATGGCAAGATTTCCTTCTTTTTTGGCTGAATGGCTGAATAATATTCCACTGT